GCGGAGATCACAATGCTCACGTGATCCATGAGTCTCATCCCCTCTACCATCTTCCTTCTGTTCCCCAACTCCCTTAGGAAGTTAAACTCATGATACGCACACAAAATGCATGCTAGCGGGGGGCTGGTGCTCTTTCCCATCGGAATCCTGATAGTCTGCTTCAACAGCACCCCCATAGCGCTCACATAAGTGTGTTCCAAATCGACTTCAACGAAGCTCCTGATCTCATCCAAACACAACTTGCGCCAATGATCAGCTCATGCGGTCCTTCCAAACGTGCATCCTTTCCCCCTGGTGTTCACTCTGATCCACTTCTCGCCTTTCGCCTTGTATCGATCAATTATCCAGTTAACCGTTTTCATAATCTCGTCGTGGGGTAACTTCCTAAACATGTCTTTTATGTCGTACGACAGCGCTATGTGTAGTAGCCCATCCTCCTGTCGCTTGACTTGTGCCGCGTTAAACTTTTCCACCCTTTGCGTTACCTCACTTACTGACCGAGGTTGAAGTGTCACTCCTTCGGTAAGTTGAACAACATCTGATTGAGGGCTTTCGCCACAATCTGTCCTGTCTTAGTTGCTGGATCTGCAAATGACGGGCATATTGGTCTGAAGCGGTCCAGACCCTTATGCTTCGGCTGGACGAAAGCTTTGCCGAATGCCCCTTTCATATCCACTACTGCAAATCTCCCCACTCCAGCATCCTCCATCGCTTGTTTCACCACGTCCTTCACCTTATCCTCGCTCTGCTCGGTCAGCACTGTGTAGCCTATGTTCAGGACAAAACCTTCCATAATCGCCTCAAAATAGAAGTAAGGACACATAACCAGGGCCTCCCCTGGATTACGGTCCAACAGTGTCAACACTAGATTCTGCAGTCGGTTCTTCAGTAATATCACCTCCTCTACATCGAGAAAATTGCCTCCTTCCTCCGTTCCGTGTGCCATGCAACCTCTTGCGCTTTCCATAGTAACCGACACGTCATCCTTCTTGTTGTAATTTTTCCACGACTCGAAAGCTTCTCGAATCTCCTTTCGCAGTAAACCGACTCGATCGTGATGCCTGACCTTCGGTACATTATTTGCGTTCAACATSATCGGATGTATCCCCTCCAATTCCTGCAGTCTGAACCGCACGTGCTCCCCTACACGAGGGTAAGGGAGGCCTACACACTGGCAGGTAGGCACAACTTTGCGCACATACTGGCGCTGGTTGTGTAGCAGGTCAGCGACGGATGGGTTCTTTGCCCATACCGTCCTCACCTTACTCCTCGCGCGTTTCTTCATGCAATCCGGATGACTT